CCTTCGGCTCAGGTCATGATCCCAGGGTCCTGGGATCGAGCCCCGCATCGGGCTCCCTGCTCGGCGGGGAGCCTGCTTCTCCCTTTCCCTCTGCCTGCAGCTCTTCATTTTTATGCATATGGATGTCCGTCCATGCTGTGTTTTCCCAATCATGTAATGAAGAGAGGAATAAAAGCATATGGAATGGAATAGAACGGTGGTTAGTATCTTTGGTTCTTGAAACAGATGAACCTGGGTGTGATTGTGGGTTCCTCAATCTGTGTAGACTTGGGCAAGTGAACCTCTCTAGATCTTTTTTTCTTTTTTTTTTTTTTTAAGTATGGTGGAGCCTAACATGGGGCTTGAACTCACAACCCTGAGATCAAGACCTGAGCTGAGATCAAGAGTCGGACACTTAACCAGCTGAGCCACCCAGGTGCCCCTCAAGCTGGGTCTTATATGTTAGAATATAGTGAAATATAGATACACAGATATAGAAGTATTAGAATCCAAGTACTTGTGTGGAACCAGGAATGAGAATTGATAAAATTGATTATTTAAGAAGGAGACTACAGCATGGCATAAAGTATAGAGAAGTTGAATCATTGTGTTATACACCTGAGACTAATGTAACATTGTGTCAACTCTACTCAAAACAACTTTTTTAAAAGGAGGCTACAAAGGTGAGTAGATCCAGACTGGAAAATATGGGTAGACAGCATAGAATTATATAACCCATTTTTAAGTGATTAACTTGGTATTTATGTGCTTGAACAAAGACACATAATAAGTCAAATACTATATATGTATATATATATAATTACTATATATATATAAAATTAGGAAGCCATCAGAATTTTTTTTTTCTCTTAGCATTACATAGCAAGATGATTTCGTTCTCAGTGGAGGGTAGGGTAGGAGAAGATCAGGAACAGTGAAGTTTCAATGTGGGCTGGTAAATTTGGGGCTGGGGTGCTGGTAAGTTTTGAAATTATTTTACCTTGTAAATAACAACTTATTGAAGCTCCGTGGTTATATATTTTTTG